AAAGCCGCAAACGAGAGTTAAATAATAGAACTTTCATACCCGGTATAAAGTTCTTTTGTCTGGTTTTCGCATCGTGAAACCTTTTCACTTTATCTTTGTAAATCTTTGAATTTTCATAGGCTTTATTTCTCAATTCCTCCAGCTCGGATAATTGCAATGTTCGTTCTTTTTTGGCTGCTTCGACATCAACATTAATTTTCTTTATTGCCCAATATGCCTTATGCTCAATTTCAACAGGAAGATGGCATGCTTTCCCATAGGCGAGCCGAAACAGACTCATCCCCAATACACCCTTGTATGCTGTCCTTTGGGCCCATAGTGCATCGTCAAGACGAGTCGACCAATCTTTCCGTGAAGAATTCACGGTTTTCTCCAAAATATTTTTTATTTGTTTGTTGCTCGTCTCGGCTTGTCCCGACGTCTGAGGATGGTACGGGGTAGCCACCTTATGGGAAATCCCATATTTCTTCATCAACTTTTTAAAAATACGGTTTCAAATGTGTTTGCCACCGACGCTTACAATCGCTCGTGGGAATTTAAACCTGCTCAAGATATTGCTGTGCAAAAACCTGATGACCACATTAGCATCACATGTCCTTTTGGGGATAGCCTCGACCCATTTGGACACGTAATCTAGGGCGAGTAAAATGTACTCGAAACCAAAAGATTTAGGAAATGGTCCCATAAAGTCGATACCCCATACATCAAAAATTTCTACTTGTAAATTATTTACAAGGGGCATCTCGTTTTTAGGACCGATATTCCCAATTCTTTGGCATCTGTCACAAGCACGACAAAAATTATGAGCATCTTTGAAAAGGGTAGGCCAAAACAAACCTGACTGAAGAACCTTGAAAGCGGTTTTTTTACCTCCGAAATGTCCTCCACAGTGAAATTCATGGAAAAATGCTAGGACATCAACTTGCTCTTCCTCTGGCACACATCTCCTGAGCACCTCGTCCTTTCCTATCTTAAAAAGGTACGACTCGTCCCAAAAGTAACTCCTGCACATAGAAACAAATCGCTTTTTCTCTTGGGAAGAAATATTAGGCCGCTGTATTCCACAACATAAATAATTCACAATATCAGCATACCAAACACTCTTTGAAACCTCAAGCACATGCTCATAAGGAAAATCATCATTAATGGAACTATGCACAAGCAATGAGGATGTATGATCAGATGATGCAATGCGTGATAAGTGATCAGCAACTATGTTCTCGGAACTCTTTCTATCTTTAATATCTACATCAAACTCTTGCAATAACAAAATCCACCTAATGTGTAACACCCCGCTTTTCGTACATTGAATTTCTTGAATAATTTTTTCTTTTCATAAGACATTTGAAAACTTTACTTGAACTCAGGGTGCTACTCACTTTGAAAAACATTGCATACATAATCCTTTCATAACCATAAAACTTTTCATGAACATAAACATTTCATGGCGTTGTCTTGAGAACTTACACTTTAACTTGACTTGCATGAACCATGACTTATTTCATAAAATAAACTTTGCATAGCGGAAGCTTTTAAAACATAAATATCATAAACATAAAAACATGTGACTACCCTCGCCATCGCTCATTTGCCAGCTCGCCACAAACCTGGGTGTGGAAAACAAATGGGGTGAGCATTTCCACTTACTCCGTGAGAGATCCCTCTACGTTATCATCCTAATCAACTATAAAGCATGAAATCGTTTTCGTATACTCCACATAATCATGTGCTCCCAACGAGTGGTGACCCACAAGTCGAAAGGCTTTCTTGCTTCTACAACACTATTAGACAACTAAACACTAGAGTCTTTGCATGCAGGCGATTACATTCTTGTCACACTCCCACCACTCATCAAACTTCTTATACCACTTTATGGTGGTGGAAGAACAATGCCTCTCGCAGATGGCACGACCAATTAGGCTTGATGAGAGTACCTTTCAATAGGTTGAAGGAAGACAACCTTTCACTAGGCTCCGTACAGTCTTATCGACGGGGACAACCGTTCGAAGAGTGCACCAACGAAGGTTACACATAATCACTTACACCCTCTAACCCTAACACTTAGCTACCCTCTAGAGTTATAGTCCGTGAACCTTGGTACTGCAACAAACGACTTGCTCGAATGTTGGAACATTGTATAAACATGGGTACTATGCAAGCTACTTAACTTCATTCGATGCATAGATAATTAAAGAGGATTAATAAAGTAGAACTTCCCCCACCTTTTCAGTAGAATGCTCGGCTTCGACTTGAACTCGACTTTGAAAGAAACTCGAGGGCTCGACTCCTCGTAAAACTACATTCATTGGGGTCATTTCTTAGTGTCTTAACATGGAACTTATTCTTATACTTATACTTATACTTATAATCATACATAAGCTTTAGAAAAACTTTGCTCGCTTGGCTTCACCTTGCTTGCATTTCTTTTGAAAACATTCTTACTTTAAAGCATTTGGACAATTGAACTCTTAGCTTGCTTGCTTACGGATACTATTCAAATCATCTAAGGTTCATCATGATCTCAC